AATAGATAAATTAAGTCTTAAACTACTCAAGATCAGGTAAAGATTACAGAGCTATTAATTAAATGCAAGAAAATCGTGGGTAATCTAAATATCACAGTAATTTATCACTTGATATGTTATAAATAAAACTAATTGCTAAATGGTTAAGTATCCAATATCATTGAAATTAAGAACCTATATGTATATTTTATTCAGTTGTGTATTTGTAGTTGTGTGTGTATCAAAGGGGAGTAATCAAGAGGCTGCCTCTGAGTTTTTTATGACTTGGTGTAACCACTGTACCCTGGTAGGTAATAGCCCATAGCTCATAGGATATAATTTAGTATTAACTTAAACAGTTAATTACAAATATTTCAGTTATTTGAGCTGCAAGGTGTGAGAAACATTAAATCACAAAACAATTAATTAGATTAAACTATCCTCTGAAAACTTTATCATGCAACTATAGAATAATATAATATCAATTCTAGGATGCAAATATGCAATATCTTACTAGTTTTAATTATTTATATTAACTAAGCGYACTTAAAAATTATCTATTTGAATAAATYAATGAATCAACGAATATTGTTTGAGTTATAAAAATATTTAGTTAATAAATATTTGAACTTGGCGGCCAGAGATATTATAATTTGTTGTTTATTCCAAGCCGAATAGATATGACACATTTCTTCCATGATACTGATATAAACCGTTTTTTTTTCTAATGATATAAACCGTTTTTATTTACTGTCTGGTGATCCAATCGTGTGGTTTTCGAAGGTTATCAATATTATCATAAATGCTTATCACAGTGTCGAAGTGACCCCGCCCGGCAGCTGAATTACTGTCAGCTTAAATACGGTTCGTACAAAAATACTTGTCGGCTGAAATAGTAGTTGTCGGCTTAAATAATGTCGGTTAATTAATATCGGCTAAAATAATGTCGGGTTGAAGTATGGCTTTTGGCCCTTTTGGGTCTGGAGAAAAAATCCGGAAAAAATTACTATAAGTCCATATCACTACCGTAATACTATCACTACATCAATACTCCACAGTGTTACCACAACAATAATAACTTTATATTATTTTTTTTCATTCGTTCATTTTCTAAGTACAAAATATCGCTAATCAAATTATTCTAAGTACAAAATAAAATTTTTAAAATGTGACTGACGTAAACTGAGGGCCAGTTTTTTCGAAACCTATCGGAAACAAACACATAATCAAAATCAAATAATCAAAATATCGAAAAACGTCCGTGAGGTTTTTTATTCGTATACCGTAGTAGAAAAATAGTCCGCGGTCGGATTTCGTTTTTCCGACCGATTTTCACCATGGAGTATGGCTTTTGGGTCTGAGAAAAAATTTCAAAATATCGAAAAACGTCCGAGAGGTTTTTTATTCGTATACCGCAGTAGAAAAATAGTCCGCGGTCGGATTTCG